ACTTCTTACTTACTTACTTACTTACTTACTTACTTACTTACCTTACTTACTTAGTTACCTTACTTACTAAATAGGAGCAGCTCAGTCTAGCTGTAATATATAACCTTTGATTCAGCCTTGCTTTACTTTTAAAGTATCAGTGTCACACAGTTTTAGGTAGTACTAAGACTTGTGTGTTTTTCCAGATTGTTGTACCTAGAGTTGAGTGTTCTCAGGCTGCAGTCCAGGTCCTTCAGAGCTCCGATCAGAAACCTCCAGCGGTTCAGTCCCACCTGAGTGTTATACAGGTGAGGGTCCAGGATAAAAACAGGGTACAGCTCCTTACAGTCTCTCAGAGCAGCCATCAGTGCTGGGTTGTCATGTAGCCTGAGGCCCTTTCGGAACCAGTGAATACATGTGTGAGCCATGCCTGTGGATCTGTGAACACAAACGGGAAAACATTCAGTATCATATAACAGAGGAGGGGAAAATAAAGATTGAAACACACTATAGCGCTCAAGCAAAACGTCCGGGAAGCTCATCCAACAACACAGTAAAGTTATAGCATCACATCAATTATAATTTTGTAGATACATTCGCATAATATTGCAAACAAGACCTAATAATAAATATGTACACAGAGAGGTTCTGGGTTCAAAACTATTACACTGAACTGCAGAAACAAGAGCTGTCACTGAATATCTGATAAAATAAGTTGCAGGTGATTTTTTTTTTTTACAAGCTATTACCGTGAGTCTTCTATCACCGCAGACTCCGCTCTGGTGCTGTTTTGTGAACGCTAAAATCGCTCGGTTTTGTAACAGGCACGCTCGCTGTTACAAAACGAGGAAACAGCTACGTAAACATCAAAACCAGCGAGAAGGGGTTTCTGCGGAACCAAAGTAGGCGTGACACAAGAGTAGGCGTGTCTAAAACATAAACACTGTGGGCTACGAGGCCTACATGACGGTATCCTTAGACCCTGGTTGACCTCTATACAGCCTGACCCTGACCCCAGCACTAAGGTTAACCAGGAGAAATGTGACCCAAGTAGGGGTCTCCAGAAAAAGTGGTGCCACACAGTAACGCTCCTTTTGTTCTTGTCCAATCAGGTGGTGCCGTACGGTGACGCCCCCTTTTTTTGCTTGTCCAGCCGGGTGCGTGTCTTTAACAAAGCCCGTCAAATCAGATGTGTCGCTTTAGAATCGCCTTTTGTTGGGACACGCCTACTCGTCCGCAGAGACCCACGTAAACATCAAAACCAGCCAATCAGGAGAGCGTGTTTGTTTGGCTGCACTTTGCCATCTTCACCAGCAGAGGTCACCGTGGTCTTACAATCGGAGCTTAAAAGTCTTTATGTATTTAACCAGCGTTTTAATATCTTCTGTTTTCTAAAAGCTGCTTTGATTCTATTCCGATATAGCGATAATAAAACGAGACAAATATATATGAACAGACCAACACAACAAAAGATAGTTATAACACTGAAGACACCGAGTTTTCGCTGGATTGCACTCGTCAGCTCATCGTAGCTCGCCGTGATCGTATAGTGGTTAGTACTCTGCGTTGTGGCCGCAGCAACCCCGGTTCGAATCCGGGTCACGGCATTGTGAAACAATGTCACGGCAGATGAGCTTCTTTTACTTTATTTTTCCTAAATACCACCAAAAGGATTTCTTATGTTTATAAGCGATCGATATCTTCTTGAGCAATGAATATAGCATATAATAATATATTAATATATTAATACTGAGCAATATCCAGCAGCTGTAATGTAGAGAGAGAGAAAACAGCGTCAACAACATAAACTACACCACCACGAGTGGCAAAAGTTTTTGTAACTGAATTCAGTTCTCAGTTGAATAAAAAGATGATTCTACAGAAGAAATCACCCCATCTACCACTCCTTTACTAGTATTTGCCAGACATGGCCACCAGGGGGAGACATTGTTCACATAAACTGAGACACTTTTCAGTTTTACAGGTTTGGAAAACTGACAAAAATCACACAAAAGTGCAGTTTGTGACACCTAAAAATAATTGTCAGTTTCTTCAAGCTTGCTAAGAAACACAAAAAACTAAAACAAACGTTTACAATATGACTTTTTTTTTTTAGATTCAGAGCAAACTGGGGAGTGGATGACTTACAGGAGATTATTTTATGAAGGTGGTGAGATGATTTTGGCTGTAATCCTCAAGTCAAAGTGACCCGAGATGCCTCAGTTTTAATCTTTGTGGACCATTTTGACCCAAGAGCAGCAGGAGGGTTAATGCCACTAAGTTACGTTCTGTCAGCTAAATTTGAAGAGAACAATGAATAACAGAAGTGGGGATTTCTGCAAAAATGAAACTAGGCCCACACCGCAGCAGTCCGTCGCATACTCAGAGTTTTAAAGTAACTAAGTACAAATACTGTACTTAAGTAGAAATTTTGAATTTATGCTTTAACCTCAGTTTATTTTCAGTACCTCCTTCCTGTCATGTGCAAGGAGAAATAGAAATTCTTATAAAAATTAAAGTGAGGAACATCAAAACTCTTTGGTTGTAGTGTACTTTAACTTTGGTAATTAAAAATTAAGTAGAGTTGTAAAGTAGCTAAGTACAAATACTTTGTTACTGTATTTAAGTAGAATTTTGGGGTATCTGTACTTTACTTGAGTAATTATTTTTCAGTGTACTTTTTACTTTTACTCATTACATTTTTACACAGTTATCTGTACTTTCTACTCACTGCATTTTTTTAAAAATGTAAGAAGTAGAAAGTCGTTACTCCTATTTTATTCCAAGTTGTTACTTTAAAAATACTATCCTGATAAATTATGTCTCCTGGATAGAGTGAATTTAACTGTGGTTGGATGAGAAGTATAAATATATACCATTCTGACAACCTATTAGTTTGTACACAACCCATCACAGCTGCACGCTGTTAGAAAATATATTTTTTGGAGAAGTCACCCCCCAATAAATGTCATTTTGGAAAATCTAACAGCTCACTTTTACTCAGTACTTTTACTTTTAATACTTAAGTAGATTTTGTGTCAGAAATTTACTTTTGATAATTAAGTACAAAAAATATCAGATACTTTAAGACTTTTACTCAGGTAATATTTTTAGAGGAGACTTTAACTTTTACCAAAGTATTTTCATGATAAGATACTTGTACTTTTACTCAAGTAACACTTTGAGGTACTTTATACAACACTGCACATAATAAAGATGCAGCTGCTGTGAATTTGTTTACAGTTTTCATCTTATTTAATTTTATCCCAGTAATAAAGTAAATGAAACTGTTAGACTCAAGACATGAATACTTTCCTGAGATACTCACAAAGATTGCTTTACAATAACATATTATTAGTTACAATATAATCAAGACAAGAATAATATGATCAAGACTAGAATAGAGAATAATCAAGACTTTAACTTTTACCAAAATATTTTTATGATAAGATATTTGTACTTTTACTCATCACTTTGAGGTACTTTATACAACACTGCAATTATGACTGCTGAAGTTAAAATTTTACACAGAGACCACACTTGTTAATTTACTCCAGTGTGTTCAAGAACATGACTTAATTCAGGCCTAATTTGGGTGCTTTTAAAGTTGTTTTAAATATTTTTAGGCTGGGCTGTTTACACAAGTTATGAGGTGAAATTTACAGGCTTTCCAACTGTATAGGATTTATTGCCAAGAAACATTAATTTCCTTCCTTAGGAAGCTAGTTTCAGTATCTTCAAGGTAGCTTTTTAGAGAAATGTCTGATTTTAAATGTGTACTGTATTTTTGATGAACCTTAAAGCACATGTCTGCTCACTGATGTGTTAAACCAGAGCTGTGTTTTATTTATTATTTTTATTTTTATGCGTGACCATGTGTGGAGACCGTCACGACGCGCAGCAGCAGCAGCCTGTCGGCATTTCTCCTGCTCGTCGTGAAGTCCGTGAAGGCATCATGTCGGTGACAGACTTCAGCTCCAGGTCTGAGGGCAGGACAGAGGCTGAGTGAGGAGGAGGAGGAGGAGGAGGAGGAGGAGGAGGAGGGGTGACAGTGTAACCCCTGACTGAGCACAGAGAGCAGCAGCAGTACCACCAGTCCGGTCCGGTCCGGTCCGGCTGATTAAACGATGCACCACCGCCGCCGCCGCCTCTCCGCACCGTCGCTGCCGCGGACCAGGTGTCCGAGCGCAGAGCAGGGACGCCGTTAACGTGACAGGAAGAAGAAGAAGAAAAAAAAAAGGTCAGTTTGAATCTATGAGCTGCGTGCACGCGCCTCTCCTCTGGTCCGGTTCGGCAGACCCACCGAGAAGATGCTGAGCCGACTGATGAGCAGCAGCATCAGGAGTCTGGACCGGGAGTACAACTGCACCGTGAGGCTGCTGGACGACTCGGAGTACACCTGCACCATCCAGGTCAGCGCGCGAGACACAAAGATGTTTGTTTGTGTTTTTGTTTGTTTGTTTGTTTGCTTGTGTTTAACGGAATGGACCAGCTTGATAAACGCTCGTTGGTTAGATTATGATATATATAAAATAAAAAGGCTCTGCAGCGGTGAGAGGTTTACCTGTGAGGACATCACCATGACCTCATGTGGCGCGTGCACAGCATAGCAAACATTCACAGGATTATCAGACAGACAGCATGCCAGCAGACAGGATCACTCTAAATATGTGATAATAATGTGGAAGCTGTTTTCATGGGATGCAGGAATGTAAAGATAATCGGGTTCAGTGAGGATTTGTGGGTCTTCTGGCAGCACGAGGCGGGCTGCAGACACACATGTTACATGTTGTTTATCATCTGGATGCTGTTTCTCTCACTTTGCTTCAGACAGACTCGTTCATTTTAGACTTGATTGAACTTCACCTTCACTTTGTTTTTTTTTTTTTTAAATATAAATACCAAATAATATAATCCATTTCCACCTGGTGTATTTAGATAATAAAGCAGAGTTGACTGACCTGTAAAAAATCATTTTAATGCAGGAAAGCAAACATTAATTCACATATAGACTTTTCTCTTATCCAGTATTTTATCTGATTAGCCTTATATCATTTGCTCATATGTTTTGGGCACACAACAAAAATCTTTTGGATGAGGTCATTATTGGTTGTAAATTATGTTAATCCCAGCTGGTGTCATCACCTGTTGAAAACTTAATAATACTTTAAAAATAGTTGAATAGTTGGTGTTTTCCATTAGAGATGTACAGATCTGGTATTAACATCGTCTTGGTCCCGATACTGAAAAAAAAATCTAGATTGGGTATTGTAACGATGGGCCCAATCTGGGCAGACCTATTCTATTTAACTTTGAGCAGCGACGTCATGCGCTAACAACACGTAGCGCAGATGATCAGCTTTTTATTCTACCTCAGCCAACACATTGGCAGATAATTAATTATCTGGAGCCACACTACGACAGAACGCCAAAAATATTTGTCGGAGATGACTCTACCTAAATGTACAAACGCCAGAACCGGCTCTTGGCATAGGCGAACTAGGCGGTCGCCTAGAGCGCCATCTGCTGGAGGGGGTGCCAAACTGCAGAAGAAAAAATGTAATTATTTGTAATTCCTGGTTGTAACTCTGCTAAGCTCCCCTTTCAATTAGCTTTGTCTTAAAAAAACTATAATGAAGTATTACAGGAAAAATAAACTACTCTACCCATAAAACATTTTCTCCCTCCCAGTGCAGCAATCGCCCCCCACCCTCTCTCTCATTTGATTGACGTTGCACTGACTCGTCCTGCTCCGACACTCTGACGGGGGGAGGGGCTAGTAGTGCCTCTCAGGTAGCGGTTCGTGTTGACAAACTCAATAACAAGTCTGTATTTTGTTGTCCCATACATGTCAACCTCTTCAACATTTACCTGTATAAAAAGCTTCAAAAATTCATAAATTTTGCAAATAATCCATAGTAGGTTGTCAGCCTCGCTGGGGACATGAAAGCGCCCGCTGCGAAGCAGG